AGGGGGGAGCAGGAAGAGGACTTGGTCTTGCTGTCTGAGGTGGAGGATGGGGAGGAAGTAGAGGAGGCAGGAGAGGCAGACAGTGACTTTATAAAAACACATCATAATTTCTCTGACTCCTTTGCTTTTTCATTTCTTTAAAAATGTTTTTATACAGTAGCAATCCTTCTTCCACCATTTCCTTTAGTTTCAGTGCCTGTATCATAGAAGGGTCTATGCTGTAAACTAAGTCAAAAGCCGTCTTGAATAATCAGAACCCTTTTGCCAGATTGACTGAAGTCAATTTGTTTTCTGGCACTGCTTCTTCCACAGCTTCTTCCTTATCACCTGGCACTAGTTTGTAAGCACTCATTTCTATCAAATTATCTTCTGCTAACTCTTGGGTTTAGTGTTTATTAGCTTTTTTTTTTTCTTTTTTTGAGACAGAGTTTTGCTCTGTTGACCAGCCTGGAGTGTGCAGTGGCATGAGCTCAGTTCACTGCAACCTCCACCTCCCAGGAGAAGGTGGCATGTAGGATTACAGGCATGTACCACCACAGCCGGCTAATTTTTTATATTTTTGGTAGAGATGGGGTTTCATCATGTTGGCTCAGCTGGTCTCGAACTCCTGACCTCAAGTGACCCGTCTGTCTTGGCCTCCCAAAGTGCTGGGATTACAGGTCTGAGCCACTATGCCCGGCCGTGTCTGTTAGCTTTTGAATGTCTCTAAGGTCCATATCTTGAAATACTTCACTCCCTGTCTTTTTTGCCATATCCACAATCTCCTTTAGGATTTCCATGACTGGCTTGCTGTCAATCTTAAGTCATGGACAAAGTCTGGACAGAGTTTTCTCCAGCAGGAATTTATTGCTTCGGGATTGATGGCCTTCAGAGCTTTTTCTGCAATGATGGCATCTTCAATGGTGTAATTCTTCCAGACTTTCATGATGTTCTCTCTATTGGGGTTCTCTTCCATAGAAGTAACAATCCTTCCCATAGATTAGCTTGTGAAATGAGCCTGTAAATGTCTGTATGAACTCCTAATCTAGAGGCAAAATCAGAGACATTGTGTTTGGGGGCAAGTATACCACTTTGACACCCTCAGTACTGAACTTATGGGGTTCTGGGTGGCCAGGAACATTGCTCAACATCAAAAGAATTTTAAAGACAGTCCCTTACTAACAAGATACTTTCTGACTTCAGGCACAAAGCATCAGTGAAATCAATCCAGAAAAAAAGGTTCTCATTGTCTAGATCTTCTTGTTATACAACTAAGACACTGGTAGCTGGTGCTTATCTTTTCCCTTCAAGGTTCAGGGGTTAGCAGCTTTATAAATAAGGGCAGTTCTGATCATAAACCTGACTGTATTTGCACAAAACATTACAGTTAGCCTTTCTGCCTTAAGTCTTGGTGCTCACTTCTCTTCTTCACTAATAAATGTCCTTTGTGGCATTTTTCCCCCCAAAATGGGGCACTTTTGTCTGCATTAAAAACCTGTTCACCAGCCTGTCCAACATGGTGAAACCTTGTCTCTACTAAGAATACAAAAATTAGATGGGTGTGGTGGTGCCCGCCTGTAATCCCAGCTACTCAGGAGGCTAAAGTTAGAGAATCACTTGAACCCGGGAGGTGGAGGTTATAGTGAGCCAAGATTGCACCACTACACTCCAGCCTGGGAGACAGAGCCAGACTCCATCTCAAAAAAACAAAACAAAACAAACAAAAAACCTGTTCAGGCAGATGTCCTTTCTCCTCAATTATTTTCCTAATGGTGTTTGGAAATCTGTCTGCTATCTCTTGGTCAGCAGAAGTTGATTCTACTGTTAATATTGATTTTTTTTCTTTTGGTTTTTTTTTTTTTTTTGAAATAGAGTTTTGCTCTTGTTACCCAGGCTGGAGTGCAACAGCACAATCTCAGCTCAATGCAACCTCCACCTCCCGGGTTCAAGTAATTCTCCTGCCTTAGCCTCCTGAGTAGCTGGGATTACAGATGCGTGCCACTCTGCCCAGCTAATTTTTTGTATTTTTAGTAGAGACGGGGGTTTTACCATGTTGGCCATGCTGGTCTCGAACTCCTGACCTCAGGTAATCCACCCACCTCGGCCTCCCAAAGTGCTGTGATTACAGGCATGAGCCACCACACCTAGCCATCTTGACATTTTCTAAGCCAAATCTCTTTCAGATACTATCAAACCATGCTCTTCTGGTATGAAACTTTCCAGGCTTAGATCCTTCACCTTCCTTTTACTTTTTAGTTGTCATATAATGACTTCACTTTTTCTGGAACCACATTAGAGTCTATGGCTATGCCTTTCTACTGCAATCCTATACCCACATAAAAGCTGCATTTTCAATACAAGATAGTTATTTCACAAAAGGTGCAAGGTTTTCAAGTCTGCTGGCGTAGCTGAAGTAAGTGTCTCAAATTTCCTTTTAACAGTGGTCCTTACACTAGATTCACTTATCTTGAAATAATGAGCAACTGCAGTTGCAGATCTCAATCTACAAGACATATCAAGCAATTCAACTTTCTCTCTTAATGTCATGACTTTTCTCTGCTTCTTGGGAGTATGTCCAGCATCACTAGCAACACTTCATATGATTCCCATGATGTTATTCAAGGTTTACGGTATTGTACTAAACATGATGAAAAGACAACAGAGATGTCTTTTCACTGGGATAGGCAATTTGCTGGAGAGACAAACTGCTCATAAGCATCATACAGTGTTTTTAGCAGATACAACATCTATATCGGCATCATACAGTTTTAAGCAGATACACTTAAGCTTACCAAAACAGCAACAGGAGGTGACTATGAAATTATTACAGTAATACAGTACATACTGCAGTTAATTTTATGCAGTTATGATTTAATACTGCATCTTTATGTTTGTTTACATCTCTTGACTGCAGACGGTCTGGAAATGTTTGTGTAAGTTTTAATACATTTTAACTTTTTATAATATATTTGTGTATATTTTATGGTGAGAAATGATAAAATACGCTAGTATCTATGTATACTTTATGCACTCATGACATATTTTTTCACATTTCTAGGCTACGTGGTTTGTCTGCTAGCTTTTTCAAATTAGAAATTGCCAAAAAATTTTCTAATATGTGTATTTAAAAAATCCATGAATAAGTGGACATACACAGTTCAAATTCATGTTCAACTGTCTACTTTACCCCTCTAGTTGAGCATCTCAGAGAAATCCTACAATAATCATATCAAATGTAAACTCAATCTCCACCCACAGTTCTACCTCTGAAATCTGCCCTTCTTCAAGTGTTGCTGTTACTTGCAAATGGAAGCATCACTTTCTCAACTGTAACATCCATAAACGTAGACGTTATCCCTGATGCCTTTCTCCAGCCTTAATATCTGATCCATCCTGTTGACTTTATCTTTTTAAATATTTCCTGAATGTATCCTCTTTTCTACACAACCATGTTTACTCTAGTCCAAGCTTCTATCGCACTTACCCAAACTAATACAGGTATCTTCTAACAGTCTTTCTGCATCCATGAGTGCTCCTCTGCCAATTCATCCTCCATGCATTTTCTCAAAAACTAATCTAATCACATCTCTCTGCTTCAAGCCTTTAATACCTTCTTTTAGGATAAAACAAGACTCCTTAATAAAATCGAGAAGGTCTTGGATAGGACATCATGGTCTACCTTCACAGATTCATCTCTCATTAAACTCTGCATCACTCTCTACATTTTAGCAAGGCTAGTTTTCTTTCAGTTCTTTGAGCATACCATGATCCCTGGCCCTTTTGGGCCTTTACACACGGTGTTGCCTCTGCAGAATATGCCATCACTCACTACCCTACTGCCACCACCACTCATCTCTTTATACTGCTTACTGCCTAATCAGTCTTCAGATGGCCTCTCAAGAAACACCTCCTCAAAGAAGCCTTCTCCTTTAACTTAGATGATCTTCTCCTCATACATGTTTATAACTGCATGTATTACTATTTCTAAATACACATTTATTTTTGTTATTAATTTGTGCTCAATGCCTGTCAATCCAAAAAGATCTCAAGCTCGATAGAGGGAAAAAAAAGCCTGGTTCACTCTATTTCTTTTTTTTTTTTTTTTTTTTTTTTGAGACAGAATCCTCACTCTGTCACCCAGGCTGGAGTGCAGTGGCACGATCTCAGCTCACTGCAACCTCCACTGCTCTGGTTCAAGCAATTCCCCTGCCTCAGCCTCCCAAGTACCTGAGATTACAGGCGCATGCCACCATGCCCAGCTAATTTTTTTTGTATTTTTAGTAAGATTGGGTTTCACTATGTTGGCCAGACTGTTCTCCAACTCCTGACCTCAGGGAATCCACCTGCCTCGGCCTCCCAAAGTGCTGGGATTACAGGCGTGAGCCACCGTGCCCAGCCTGGTTTGCTTTATTCTATCTCTAGTACCCAGCAAAAAAGACACACAAATATTTTTTCAATGAATCAATCAACATGGGAATGACAGTGAAAGCCGTGCAATCAATCAAGCAGCACTGCCTAAGAATGGGACTTGCAAAGATAAAAGGGACCAGAATAACCATAGGAAAATATTACAGTTTAGGAATCAAGCAGAGGAAAATGTGTTGTTGTTGTTGTTTTAAAGCCGTCAAAAAATTAGAAGGAAAAAAAAAGGAAATAGCATCACTAAAGCCATGGAAGGATAGCATTCCAAACAGAACAGGCCACCGAACTTGACAAATAGGCAGTATCTTGTGATCTGACAAAATTAATAATGTGAGGCGCAGAGAAAGGGAAAATATGTGGGGAGAAGCTCGCACCTTTTCATCCTCTGGAAGTACGATTTTTAACTTTGTTGATATACTAAAATTACCATGACGGTCCGAATCAAATAATAAATCTAAAGAAATATGCGTGCCATTTTACGTTTCAACATTATTCCTCTCTATCCACATGAGTCATTTTCGGCCGACTGCATATATAATGTTTACGGATAAATGTTTTAACATTTGCACCTGAAACGTTCTGTTTTTCAAAGACCTTACCTCCCAGAATCATCAAAACAGACCTCCGTGTGTCCCTCTGTATGTCCATATCTCATTGGCTTCCGTGTGGCGGGCATCTTTTCCTTTATCTACCTGAAAATGTTTTATAAAAGCCAGTCTTATTATTTGAAATGAGAGAAAAGCAGCAAGGCTGGGGATCGGAAGACAGCTTAGTCTCCAGGGCACGCTCTCCGTAGCCCGGTTTCCCCTCCCGTGACACCAGCAGGATAAGGCGGAGGGTCTGTCAGACAATAAGCCGGGAAGATAACACGCATGTCTTTGGCGGGAGAGGGCAGCCAGAGTGGGGACTCACCAGGTTGACCAAGCCTCCGCGACTCAGTATCCTCTACAGCCGCTTCCCGCGCTTCGGCTCGCTCACCAAAATGCGCCTGCGCCGACCCGCCCACTCCGAACGCAGGTCCCGAAAGAGGTCGCGGAGTGGTGGCGTCAGCGGCGGCGCCCTTCGCGTGGAAATTAGCCGGTCTCCTGGGCAGTGAGGGAGGAAGGGAGGAAGGGAGGAAGGGAGGAAGGGAGGAAGGGAGGAAGGGAGGAAGGGAGGAAGGGAGGAAGGGAGGAAGGGAGTGAGCTGAACACGGAAGTGGTGGCGGCGCCTAGGGACCTGGCTGAGGCGATGACTGTGACGGCTGGGATGGGACCAGAACGCCGAAGCGGGATTGGGGGTGGCAGAAAGGCATCCGCTTTGTAAGACCTACACGAGGTGCCGGAGTGGTTGGGCCTCCCCTCCCTACTTAAGCAAGCGCCCTGAGTGATGGCGATGGAGAGGGCAGCAGTTACTCTGGCAACCCCAGTTAAGCTGCGCTCCAGGAGGTGAGTGGGGGAAGGGTGGAAGCTGCTGGTCTCGTAGCCCGGGGTCTTGTTCCTGCCGTCCAGGGTCTCCTCCCGGGCAAGCATATCCGGATCCCTAAAAGGATCCGGTCCTTTCTTGGGGCCCAGTTAGCAGACAGATCTTTGAGCATCTTCTCTGGAGAAGAAGGCGAGATCTTTTCGAGCCTCTAATCTTGGCATCATTCGTGCCCTCACCTTGTCTCTTCTGTAGAGATAAAGGAGGAATGACTTAATTTCAGTTCCGGTTGGTTACTCTTGGTCCCTGAAGGTATGGGATATATACATTAATGTTTATTCCTTGCGATTCTATATATCCCTTTTGAAGAAAGTAACTTGTGTTCTCTATTCAGAGCCTACCTAAAGTTTACTGAAGTGAATGTTTAGAATCAAAAGAAGAGTTATAACTTAACTGCGTTGAGTGCTTACATTTGATCCATGCAATGTCTGCTAGAGTCTTGGCCACTAAGTTTAAGTTTATGATTTTTCTTGTATCTTCACATTCTCCAGATTGGTACACCAGCCTCTGATGAAAACCTTCAGAATGATATTCTTTCGTTCGTACTTATCTTTGAGAATTTTTCAGTGTTTTTGTGATACCTTCCAGTACCAATCACGTTTAGTTGATTACCTAAATGAAATGTTTTCTTCTGTTGAAGAGGTTTCCCTGCTTTTTTTTTTCAATTTAGTTCCATTGTGAAAAGTTGGAAGCACACAGGCAAACCGTCGTGTTCTTACCTTGGATGGCATTGTGTGAGGCGTTGTTTTTAGTACTAGAGCTCCAGATAGCCTTGCTAGATGCAGAGGTTTGTATATGAATGAAGGGGAAGAATGACTGGCTTAAAAATGACTTCGGATTTGTGGAAAAATAACCCACCGTTGATTTCCCGAAAGATCAATGGTACCTGAGATGATGCTTTCTGAGTGACCTAATTTTTCTTTGGAGATCATTTGTTTTTTGGATAGACCCGTTTATAAATGTTTAGTTCAAGTAACTTGCTGTCATTGGTTAGCCTACATGGAGTTCAACTCACATAATATTCAACTCTATGTTGAATAAAGCATGGGGAGATTTCTGGTTAGTACTATTCACAGCTCAGCATAAGAAGAATCTCCAAATTAGAACAAGTTATAGCTACAAAATGCCTTCACTGTAATAGCTGTAATATCCATGTGACTTTAAGACTGATTGGTGTCCACACATCTTTTTCTCTTATCAATGAAACCATTTGATTCATAGGTTAAAGAACAATTTTCTTTGCAGATTTCGCATGTATGATAAGAGCTTGAGCCTCCGAGTTCTACAGTCCTAGGTTTTAATTTTACCTGGCACTTACGTGACCTTGAATATGTTCCTTTACTGAAAATCGAATTCCTCATCTCTAAAATGCACATGACACCAACCTCCATTGCATTGTTAGAGTATATAGGAGATACTCGTGGATGTATAAAAGTAATTGTTATTAATGTTTCATGTTATTAAAGGGGTACTTTGGGTGGGTATTTATTGGGTTTTGTTTAAAGTGGAATTTGTTTAAATAATTATCCAGTAGATTTTTCAAATGTTAAAAGAATGTATTCTTGCTTTTGCTAGTATAATGTTTTCACAGTTCCATTTGTTTCAGTCAAATGCCTACAAATAGTAATACCTTCAGTGAATTTATGGTCTTGCGGAGGGAACTAGACATTCAAACAATATGGACAGTGCAGTAACGAAAGATGTGTAACTTAAGTATTAGCAAACTTGTCTAGTTAGTTAAGATAATACAGTTTTTAAAAAAGAACTCAGTGTAGCCATGTCACTGATATAAGTATTAAAAATTTTCCAAATAGAGTTATTTATCATTAACAGTGCTTATCTCATAGGTGTGGGTGGCTATTTGAACTGACTGAAAATGATGCCAAAGTCACAGATTGAATTGCAGCGACGGTTAGCTTTGCTCTGTTGTAACCACTTATACTACCCTTAGGCTTACTAATTTTATTGGTGTCAAAGGCAATTGAGTGAGAAAACATGGGTACATTTGCCATTCTACCGATGATGGTATTACCTATATGAAATCATATGATCTTACAGAGCTTATCTAAGAGGATATACCAGTATTGGCTTATGGAAGGAGTTTTAAAAATAATTTTCTATTAAAATATGTACTTGGTGCAAAAGTGATTAATCTTGTGAAAGGTAAGGCTAGAAGAGTGTAACAATAGCCAAGGAGACCAAAATATTAAAAAAGAAACATTGAAGGCACTTTAGAAATGCTAAGATTTTTATATTTCTGAATGTGTCCTGAAACTTACTAGCCTATCTAATAATTTTGGGGTAAAGTATTATTTATTTGGTAAATAGTATTTGTCTGTATGTAAACTTCATATGATATAAAAGGCAATACAGTAAAAGTCCCCCTCCTACTCGTACTCCCAGCTACCCAGTTCCCCTGGCTAAAAGACAGCCAGTATTTGATTCTTATATTACATTAACACTAGATCCTTACTACAGCAAGATGAGATAATCAGTGTTTTATAGATAGAAAAACTAAGAAAAGTTGTGATTTATCTCACACACCTTTGAAATGTCAGAGCTAGAAATAGAACCCAGGTCTTTCACCTAGTCCAAGGTAGTCTACCACACTGATTCTTCAAATCATAGTTGTTGCCACAAAACTTAGAATGTAGTAAAACATAATGTCGGCCGGGCATGGTGGCTCATGCCTGTAATCCAAGCACTTTGGAGGCCAAGGCTGGCGGATCACCTGAGGTCGGAGTTCAAGACCAGCTTGACCAACATGGTGAAACCCTGTCTTTAAAAAACAAAATTAAATAAATGAAAGGAAAAAAAAACAAAAACATAATGTCTAAAGTCACCTTTTTTTGGGGGGATGGAGTCTCACTCTGTTGCCAGGCCAGAGTGCAGTGGTGCGATCTTGGCTCACTGAAACCTCTGCCTCCTAGATTCAAGTGATTCTCCTGCCTCAGCCTCCCAAGTAGCTGGGACTACAGGATGGTCTTGATCTCTTGACCTCATAATCCACCTGCCTTGGCCTTCCAAAGTGCTGGGATTACAGAAGAGCCACCGCACCCAGCCTAGAGGTCACCTTTTACTGATTTGTAGGTAAAACTTGTTACCCAACTTTAAATGTAAGCATATGTAATTGTTAAAAAGCAGTGAAGAGAATATAATAAAATTTTGTAAAATCTTTGCCTCTTTTCTATTTAAATCAACTTACTAAGTTAGCTTTTAAAAAGCTACAATTTTTCTGTTAAAGAATTTAAAACTTTTTAAAAGAATATATTTAACATCAGGAATAATATGGTGCTTTGTGATATTTCAGAAATGCTTGAGCTTCCTTGACTTCACATTTCTGAGGCACATTTTATGTAGAAATTTTAGCCTTACATGTAGTCTTTGTTTCCCTTCTCCTTTTTCTTAATTTTGCTACTTTCCCATCTCTCATTTTTAATCATGGAAAGATCTGAGTAGTACTAGGAAGTGGCCAGTATTTGTTTTCATTAAGTTCAGCATATGTTATTTTTATACATTTTATTCTTAGCAGTAAAAAAATGAAGTAGCTGGCATTATCCAGATTTTACAGTGGGAGAACTTAAGCTAAATTAGATTTTTTTTTAAGCAGGTAACATACCTAGTGGGTGCAAAGTCTGAATTTTAGCCCATATTTGACAATTTAGCAGCTCACACTATTTCATCTTCACCTTAAAGTGCTTATGCTTATTTTTAAAAATAGTATAGTGAAAAACAGCATAGGTTGTTAATTTTTTACAGATGTTTAAAACTTCAAAATTTTCTCTTTATGCTTTATTGGACTTATAAGAAAAAAGAACAAGAAATAGGCCAAAATGTCAAAAATTGCCTGCTTTTAAGTAATGGAATTATAGCTGTTTTCCTCTCCTTTTTAAATTTTTCTGAGTGGTCCATATATTATACAATGAGCATCTATTGTTTTTATCATAGAAAATTACAGATTAGAAGAAAAAATCTGTTCAATCTAATTTGTTCCATAAAGTGTTACAGTACTATATCTTAAATATTCTGTTTCTTAAATTCTGTTAATCTTCCTTCTACTTTTAGAAGTTCAGGTACTGCCAGCTCATAGTTTTCTGCTTTCTTCACTCTAGATTAGCCTCTTCAGTGATAGGGGTTCCTAAACATCTCTCCTTATCTTTAGCTAAAGCTTAGGGAATGTACACTCATGTTAACAGATTAGCCCATTAATGTTTCCCCAAAATTTGTTCCACGAAAGGATTTGTGGCAAAGTAAAGACAGGAAGCTATAGCTTATGCAGATTTCTTTACTGAGGGGTCTCTTGGGAACGCTTGCTAAATATGCACTGTAATCTTTGAGAGAAGAAGCATTTCCCAAACTTATTTGACAAGAGAAGCTTTTTTTCTCCAAAATTTGTGTTAACATCTTTCAGAACTAGTGTCCACAAGAGTACAGAGTGGGCAAAAGTGACATAAGCAAACTATACTTAGGAAAGAAACTGGAAAAAATGGGGAGAAAGGGAAAGGAGGGTGCAGTGCTACTAAATTGATGATTCATTTTTAGAAAATTGCCATTAAGTCCCATGAGCCCTGGCTATGGGACTTAATGGCAATTAACTTTTTCTTCTAATCTGTAATTTTCTATGATAAAAACAATATATGCT